GAGTAGTACAGAAAGGGAATGGAAGAGAATAAGAGATTGAGCAACCTCTTGCAATCTCGCATCTTGTCAGTAAGCTCTTCAAGCTGCCTGCTGCGGCGGTTGGCATCCTTGATCTTCTCCAGCTTCTGGAACCCATTTCTGCAGACAAATCAAGCAAAGCATCAGTCAATCACATTATATATGCTACCATTTCTACACAGATCAAGTAGTAGAACCCGCAAGTTTTTTTTTTCTTCCTTCCACCCTACAGGTCAACAATCGGGTCTCCAAACTAGTGCCCCACTACCGAAACCGCAGCAAGCAAACTGAGATCTGGCGACCATGCGTGGGCGGCACAAGCAAGCTAGAGCAAGCTAAATCGCAGCAAGCCGAATGGTGTGAGCTTACTGCAATGCGCGGAGGATGTCGCCGATCTGGCCATCGATCTCGGCCAGCTCCTCGTTGACCGACGCCAAATCCATGTCCTCCTCCCCCTCCGGGTCAGGGCAACCGAGACCCCACGGGGAAAGCGAAATCCGAACGAAAAGAAGGATCAGGGTCCCCCCGTCCCCTCAACCTCGAGCTCCCTGCCTGCCAAACCCCCACCACAGCCGGATCGCCTCGAAGGGGCCCCAACCCCAATGCGGGTCCGGCTGGATTCGCCGGGCGCGGGTCGAGAGGAGGCGATCCAACGCCCGGGGTGGCGGCTGGCAGAGGCGGCGGCGAGGGTCTCCGACGGGGGCGGGCAGGTCGGAGCGGAAGCACGCCGCGCCTTGGCTCTAGCTTGTTTGTTTGGTTTTGCTTTCGCTTTACGGAGGATATTCCTCGTTGGATTCACACATCCGCATTCGCAGCCGGCATCCCTCCTTTGACTCGTCAATGACTATTCGTCACTTCGTCGGGGTATATCATGTCCGTACGATCGTCATCCGGTGCAAGTTGGGCCTTAGATGACATAAAGTTCCAAGTTTTTTTTCGCTCCGTCTCCGTCACATTAATTTTTAGACGTATATATATGAAGCATTAAATATAGGTAAAAAATAACTAATTGCACAGTTTGGTTGTAAATCATGAGACGAATCTTTTAAACCTAGTTAATTCATGATCGGACAAAGTTTGTTAAATACAAACGAAACGTGCTACAGTGTCCAGCTTAAAAAAATTTGCAATCATGGCCTTGAAGTGAAACTGAAGCACCTCACGGCAGAGGCGTTATTGCATTTTGTTCGAGCAGGCCCAAACGCTGTTACTAAAACTGAGGATGGTCTCAAAAACAAAACAAAAAAGTTGTTGTCCATGTAGACTTGGATAGTTTGACTATCTACCCAATGTAAAGAATACTCCTTCCAACCCACATGTCCTCTTAGAATTGCTACGAGATTCTTGCTCCTATGCATCCGAATTTTATTACTAATGAAGAGATAAGAGTACTCATGGAAATTCTATGAATAAACCTTAGGTGCCTTGCCTGGTAAGGTTTTTGCAACATCAATGAGCGTATATAATTGTCCAATTACGAGAAAATGTCAGTTGGCTCTCACAACCCCTTTGTTCTGTACTTCTGTGCTCTTTTGTGAGTTTAAATCCCAAAAGTTTTGGTATTTTTTTATGATGATGGACATGCATGTGTTATTGCCTTGTTGGAATATACTAGTCCAGCTTAGCATGAACTCCCTCGTATCCATGATTGTTTCTGGGTCATTATAGTATAGCTAGTAAACTTGATGCAACATTTAGTACATATAGCCTAGTAATTTATCCTAATCATTCTTTTCCTCTCAACCAGTCTCATAGTAGCCCTTACATCGATGTCCACTGTTGGGTCAAACTTCTTTGTAATAAACCAATGACTATGTTGAGTATGATCTTCCCTATCAAAAACTTCACAAACACGCACACGCAACCTTCGTCTAAGTGACACCCTAGTTTTGTTATGAGGTAGGGTACCTTAACAAGTTGTTTGAAAAGAAGATTATCAACATATATAACATTAAATATAATTATAATTACTATGAAAATATCTTTTGTGATGAATCTAATGATATTTGTATGGATTCATAAATATTGGTATTTGTTTATATATACTTAGTAAAACATATTAAGACTGTTTGATTTAGGGCAAAGCTTGAATGTCAATCTTTGTCGATGAAGATAGTATTAGGGAACCACATTACAAGAAGACCCTCGAAAGGCGATCAAAATACATCAAGGTCCCTTGTACTTTGACGGTGTTGTATCCTATGCTCAAACATATTACTTGTTAAACCATGAAATGGGGTCTAACCACATAGCGTGCGTCTCGATTTTTGCAAAATCCAAAAATGCACGAGGCTACAACCAACGTGTATGCAATGGTACTAGGTATTTGAACATGGGTATAAGGGGCTTAAGCCCCTCCCTCCTCTCACACAAATCGACACCAACATTAATAAAGGTTCACAATAGTGTTGACGTTGAAGGTACAAATTTAGGTGCTAGCAAAAAAAATCACCAAGCCACAATAGATGAAAACGAACTTTTTTATTTTCATTTGCAACGCATGGGCTTAGTGAAAGCAAATTTCCTTATTTGTTTCATCCGTGACCTCCAATTGCTCAAGAGACATTGCTCCTAATTCAAACTTCACTAATGTGATCTTGTTTCTATAAACGTGGGCACCATGGTGCATCAAAAAGCAACTCTAGTCTATTGAGAATGGAAACAAAGTTCTTCACCCTACAATGATAGTCTAGATAGACATAGAATCTCTAGCTTTGTAATTTTTCAATAAAGTTCGTAACAACATCATGTTCTAGCAGCCCAGTGAGGCAGTGACCAATAACATCACAAACAATATCCATTTCACTAGGTCCTGTAGAATTTTGATACATTCCAGCAATATTTCCATATTGCCATACAACTTGAGGCTCTGTGGTTTTTCTAGGGGCGTGGATAACCAAATTCTCGACACAATGGTACTGGCTAAGTTCAAATATGGGACAAATCTAAGGGGGCTTGAGTCCCCCCCCCCTCTTACACACATTGCATTTATAAACGAACAACAACAAAAACAAAAAGGCAACAAGAAATGTGCACGTTGCTGGAAGAATATGAGCCTGGAAGATAAAGGTACAAGAAGAAAAGAAAATGGAAATGTGGTGGAGGAACAAAATTGGAAGTTAATCCCGGTTTCGAGCTTTTGCAAGAAAGAGAGATGTGAGAGCTAGGAGAAAAAGAAAAGAAATGATCCATATACATGTGAGGAAACAATAGTTATAGATTTCATTAAACGTCTATGCATGGTGTCAAAGTTAAAGAGAAACATATGATAAATTCTTTTTAGTGTATAGATAATTGATTTGGGCCTCTTTGATTAAAATCCTCTTTCAAAGAGAGATTCATTTGGTCGCCTACTCTAGTGTCACTACCCATAAAAATCCATTAAATTCCACGTCATTAGCCACCAATACAAACCGTGTTGGTTTAGCATCTAGCCGTCAAACTCCAATTTGACGTTCTTTGAGGGCATGAATGTATCACGCTCTGTATAATTTGGTTGCGATCATCCATAGTATATCCTATATCATATACTATATATATACATTTGTAGACTAAGGCCACTAACAATCATTTGTTGCTATAAAGCTACAACCACAGTAAGCCATGTCATCTGTGTTTCATAGCCATTGGATCATCCCTAATTTTGAAGATCTATCCGTCCACAATATTTACTCTTCCCTGTGTCCACTGCTTCCCGCTCTCAATCATCCACTGGGTGCCCCGCGAACCTCACAGCTAAAGTCCGGCCGAACAGCTGACATGAAACTAAATGCACAATCGCCTCTTGCACTTCCTCTCGCACGTTTCCACTTCAGTTGTCCAGACAGTATATGCGAACTATGAATCAAGCAGCAACTAGCAGGCACAAATCTTTATCATTGTCCCTTTCATGCCGCACAAATATTTTTGCTGATGCCTGATGAACTTACACTAAGTCACTCCATCAAACGGTCACCACTTTAGCTCATTAACACCTTCGTTCCCACTTGCTTTCGATGTTAGGTTGAATAGTCTTCATAATTCATATGGTTGGCCATAGGGTTAGTGCAGTCTGCGTTATGACATTGGGTTACTTAAAGGCGCCTTCTCTCTTATTTGCTCATCCCACCTGGCCATACGGTGATTGTTCATTTATTTTTATTTTATGATATCCATCATTGTTTCTTATTGTAGATCACATATCACGTATAACGAGATTGATCATCGAAAACAAATCGAAGCATGTACAACATGTGTTTGGCCCCGTTCGCTTCGCTAAAAAAAAACAAGCCGAACACTGTTCCGACCGATTTGTTGTGAGAAAAAAACACAGTTCTGACTGAAAAAGACAGATTATAAGATAAGCAAACAAGACCTTTATCAAGAGAAATTCCGAAGGTTGTCATTAACCCTCAAGAGAGTTCACTAGCTACTCACCTTTGTTTCAACAATCTTCTGTCCAATTAAAATTATCTCTAAATTCTTGCAGCCGCAGCATAAGAAATTTGCATGGCAAGGACGGCCCCAATGTTAGAAATTATACGTAGTTTCTATACCTATTAATTTCTATAGACACTATTTATAGAAACCATGGTCTCAATGAATAGTTTCTATAGAATAATTTTTTATCCAGTCACGTACATTCTCTCTCCATTCTCTACAAATCACATCTCTTCATGTCTTGGTTCTCGTGTAGACATGGTTTCTAACTTAGACCCAGTTTCTATAATTTTTGCTCTCTCTCTTCAATAACTACCTTACCACGTCAGCAAAACGTTTAGGTGATAGTACGATTAATGTCCATAGAAACTAGGATAGTTACACCGTTTTAAATCTTAGAGTCTAGACACAAAAGCACGAAGATATTTTATTGCCTTTAAAATCACCGTCTAATCGTCTATGATCCATGATCCATCCAGTGGCGGCTGCCGTCGTAGCCACCCAAACCCCATCAACAAAACGGCGCCGACTTGCAGAGGCCAGTGACCACGACGATCTCCGCCATGAAGCACCTCCTCCTCCCCTCCCCTCTCCCACTCCTCCTCCACCGCCCTTCCAAGCCCCATCTCCTCCACCCTCGCCGCCGCCTCGTCTCCATCCGCAACGCCGCATCCGGCGGCAGCTCCGGCGAACCCACCCCCGCCGCGGATACGGCCACCGGGGCGTCACCGCCGGCCGCTGCCACTGCCACTGCCAAGCCTGCCGGCGTCAAGGACCGCCTCAAGGCGAGGAACCAGGCCCGCCGGGTCCAGCTGGACTCCCCACCGCCGGAGGTGGTGGTGGCGCCCAAGAGGAAGCCCGCCGCGTCGTCGTCATCTCCTGCGCCGAAGAAGAAGGAGAGGCGGAAGGAGTGGGAGGAGATGAGCGTGAGCGAGAAGGCCGCGGAGCTGTACGTCGGGGAGAAGGGCCTGCTCTTCTGGCTCAACAAGTTCGCCTACGCCTCCATCTTCATCATCGTCGGCGCCTGGGTCCTGTTCCGCTTCGTCGGCCCCTCGCTCGGCCTCTACCAGCTCGACGCCCCGCCGCTGCCGCCCACTGCCGTGTTCGGCGGCTCGCCGTGACGGCTCCAGAGTGTCGGTGTCGAGTCACTTCCGAGCGGCGGAGTACACTAGGTAGAGCTAGCGACAATAAGATAATATGGATAGATTGAGGAAGAAGAGGACGCGAATTTTGGAGCCAAAGTTTGGATCTTTTGCTGGCAATGTGAATTTTAGATGCGCAGTTCTTGGAGGCATGACATTGCTGAATTCCTGGTTTATCTGTGCAAACCTGTTTGGTGTTGTATAGGCAAGCAATTCATTTCGGTATGCTCTTCAATTGAGTTTGAGAAGCTGAGACTGAGATCAAGAAGCCATCTTCCATTCTGCTGGCGTTCTTCTAATGAAGACAAAAATTCTCAGAACAGAATTTGAGTTCAAAAGCCCATTATGGGCAGGACACAATGTAATTTCTAGTGATTTCCATTATCTCTAATGCCAATCTCTGAATTCTTCCATGCTAACACAACCTAACACTCATTCATCGCGTGGCATCAGCACTTCCAAAGCATCTATAATTAGTAGTCACTGCTGACTGTTTTGATCCGAAGAACAATGCTATACTCCACCAGTTGTAGTCAGATCACAGCACAGAGGTTGGTCTACATAAGCAAATGTTCAAGTCTGTAATTTCTATCCTCTCTTCTGAAGATCTCTGAATCCTTCCATGCTAACACCACACCCTAACACTTAACATTCATTGAACAGTTGACATCAACACTTCCATAGTAATTAATTAGCAGTGACTGCTGGCTGCTTAGTCAGAAGAACAAGTTAAATCCACACATCATCAGTCGAAGTCGGATCACATTCACATTCACAGCAGAGTCGGTCAGTTAGAAAAGGAACCCCATCCAAGCGAGCACAGCAGGCCGGATCAAGAGAGCGACTTGGCCACGGGGGCGGTGGAGAGGAGGCCGGAGAGCAGGCCGACGACGAGCGCGCTGTTGTACGTAGTCGGCTCGTTCTGCTGCACGTTCTCCCTGTCGTCGACGAACGAGTCGTTCTTGAACGGCCCGCCGACCAGCGCGCCGGTGGCGACGTTCGGGTTGGGGTCGGGCGACTTGAGCCACTCCTGGCCGTCGCAGCCGGTGTCGACGTCGGCCGGGATGGACGCGCCGCGGTGGTGCACCCGCTGTGGGTAGCTGTCGCCGAAGCCGACGAGGTAGCTCAGCTTCATGGGGTTGTCGCCGAGGACGTAGTCCGCCTGCGACTTGGCGAACTTGCGCAGGTCCAGCGCTGTGAAGCTCTTGCCGCTGCAGGTCAGCTCCGACTTCCCCGACGTCGCCATGTAGTTGCTGTAGACGTTGGCGAGGAACGCCGACGCCACCGGGTGCTGCAGGGAGTTCCACTCCGCCACGTACAGCAACCCCCCTGCAAGGTTGCTTCAGCTGTCAAATCTACAAAATTTACCAACCAAAATCACCATGTGCTCTGCACATTTCAGTTACCTTCTGTTCTGAAAGCGGCCGTGTCCGACTCCGGTAGGAGAATGCACATGACGGCTTCGGCAGTGTCCTTGTACGACCCAAGCACCTCGTCTTGTCCGGCATCAGATCCATCTGTGGCGAAGAACCTCACCCTTGACAAGAGAACCTGCAGTTCGTTCGTTCAAGCCAAAATGTTGCAAAGATTTTTAAATCAGAATGAACGTTCTTTAATTCATCGTCATAAAAAGAAAAGGAAGTTACAATAAACAAGATTTGTCTACCTCGGTGCCGGCGCGTTTGTCGTCCCAGCTGAAGTACCTGGGATTGCCCAGGTCGGCGAACTCGTCGGCGTTCTTACCGGTGGCGTAGCGCAGGTAGCTGTGGTTGCCGGTGGCGTGGTACAGCCAGCTGGCGGCCCACAGGAGCTCGTCCTGGTACGTCGTGGAGTTGTAGTAGGCGCTGAGCTCCGGGAACGTGCGCGTGTAGGAGCCCCGGTGCTTGTCGGCGAACGCGAACAGCCGCTCGGCGTGGTCCAGGAGCGTCGACGCGTACGTCGCGTTGGCGGGCTTGTACACCAGCGACGCCGCGGCCATGGCCGCCGCCGTCTCCGCGGCCACGTCGCTGCCGGGGGATTTCGCAGTGATCTTCGTCAGCGGCCTCTTCTCCGACATCGTCTCCGGCCGCTCCCAGCACTTGTGGTCCGATTTCGGGTCGCCCACCTGATCACTCATCAAAAAAAAAAAAAAAATGACGACAGGGCCGGCAGAGGGCAGATCAAGGATCGATTATTCACCTGGACGCGATCAGGACTGTAGGAGGGGGATCAACGATCAAGGATGAGATGCATGCAAGATCATGATCATCAATCACCTGGATGTAGAGCACGTCGTCGGAGGGGTGCGCGTTGACGAGGAACTCCATGATCCAGCCCAACGCGTCCATGGCGACGTCGCGCTGCTGGGCGTCGCGCATGGCGTCGCCGTACTCGAGGACGGACCACGACAGCATGGTGCCGGTGAACGCCAGCGTGAACCCGAACTTGACGTGGTCGCCCGCGTCGTACATGCCCTTGGACAGGTCCAGCTTGGCCTCCTCGCCGTCGCCCAGCGCCGAGTCCCCTCGCCACGGGATCGTGTTGTTCACCAGCTTCCCGGCTGGTTCATCGATCGATCAAGACATTAGAGGATGCAGAGATTCGATGAGGTCGACGGAGGATGGCATCGGCATTGATTGGCACGTACATTTCTGGACTTGGAAGAAGCGGAGCGCCACGGTGAGGGCCTCGGCGTACTTGGGGTCCGGCACGCCGGGGATGGGGAAGACATTGCCGCCGTCCTTGTAGCGGGCGAACACGACTGCGGCCATGACCGCGAGCGCCAGCAGCGTCAGGACCAGGAGCCAGCAGCAGCACCGCACGCTGCAGCCGCAGCAGCGCCGCGCCATTATTGGTCGCCCGCCGCGGAGCTCTTCCCGCCACCACCAGATCGCCGATTATTCAGAGGAGCGGCGCGACCGCGAGAGATACGACGACGACAGGAAGGAGGACAACAACGGCCATCCGCGGCCGGGCACGATCCCCTAGGTTGCATCAACCGACCATCCACGCACGCCGGGAACGAATGGGTAGCCGCCACGTACGTGCGCGCGTGTGGCTGGGTAACCAACTTTGCGCGCGGGCGGGCAGGACGTGCCCGTGCCGCCGGCAATGGCGTCGGTTGGTGTGAGGTGGTGGGGAGTTAGAGGCTGGCCATGACTGTCTCCTCGATCGATCACAGATCAGTTGCTTTGCTTGCGGTTCCTTTTTTTGGGTGCATGGCAACACCAGGGGCCACCTTGCAGTTGCAGACTTGCAGTTACGCACGAGCACGAATCTTGACACCTAAACGAGACGATTCACCGTCAAACTACGCGCGGTTGAGATTGGCTAGGGCCCACAGTGACACTGGAGTACAGCTTTTTTTTGTTTTGTTTTTTATTATAGCACATTTCCTATTCTATAGGTGCCTCAAAGTGAAGATGAACTAACAGCAAGAGAGAAGGGTGTTCGGTCTTAAGAACGAGGATGACTACTGATCATTGGATTTATATTAGGTGGATGATGTTCATCGCCTGAAAAGAAAGTAAAAATTAGACGTCTGTGATTTAGCAACTCTTTACGGTTTGTTCAGGATATTCGGACGTCAACTGTTACCAGTATATATAAAAACTATGGAGACTCAGTTTGAAATGGCTTAAATTTTAAGAGAAACTAGTTTTCCGCCAACAGCCAACTTTTGGCAACACCCACTTATTGAAGAAGCCCGATCCAGAAAAACTAACCGTATGGCATATTGGCTTTTCTCCTCCACATCTCCCACGCTGGCTTACATGGCCGGATCTTGTCTCCCCTTGCAAAAGGTTGCCTCACATTTCATTTCTCTATCTTATTACCTCATATTTCATTTTGGGAAAAGCTCTAGATTTTAAGTCATCTCAGAAGCAACATGTTTGACATTGTCAATATCTTAAAAAGTATTCCCACCGTTCCAAACTATAAGTTGGTTTGACTTTTTTGGCGATACATTGAATTTGCTACATATCTAGACATAATATATGTTAGCAAATTCGATATACTTAAAAAATCAAAGTGACTTTATAGTTTGGAAAAGAGGGAGTAGCATAATGTGTAAACAAGCAATTCCAAACAGGGTCGCCTCTAGGATTAGCTTTTGTTGTCCAACCGATTACTCCCTCCGCTTCTAAACCTATATGGTGCTTAGAATAAAGTAATTAGTTCAAAAACTAAATAATTAACTTATTCAAGTCCCATATACTTAAAAAACTAGGTGAGTACGTAAAAGCAAATGGTTCGTTGTTAATGTTTCACATTTTGGCAAATTTTACCGTAAATCTAAATTATAGTACACTTTAATTTTGTTCTAAGCCAAACAAGTTACCCACCGATATCTACACCGCATTAGACTAGTTTAATTCAATTCTAGTATCCACAAAACATGACTTGATAGTGCATTTATTTGAATACATAGTGTTGATGTATTTTCCCAAAGCTAGCAAGTAAAAAAGTCACAAGTTTCAGTAGGATATTTGGAAGGACAACGAGAGCATACCAGATGTTATGAACTGGACTAAAAGAGAGTAATAAGTTTTTTTTGAGGGGATAAAGAGAGTAATAATTATGTAATGATATTTTGATTTTTTTCTCCCGTGGACACAATTTCCTGAAGATTTTGGATGGCTTTGAAGGAGGCCCTATAATTTTCAGGCAAAACCCATGAATGTGTCCACAGAAGCCCATCACTAAATATCATCATCATCAGGCCCACAAGGAGTGCTAAAAAAAATCAGGCCCACAAGGGCCCAGAGAGTGACGTAGAGGTACCTCCTAATCGAAGAGGAGAGGACCAAAGAAAAGCAAACTGAATTTTCCTCCACATAGAAGAAAAAGAAGAGAAAAGAGAAGGAACAAGGAAGCGCAAAACCCAATTAGGGTGGGTGGAGGAAGGGGAAAGGCGATGAGCTGATAACGACGAGGAGCAACTAGCGTGTAGCGTCGCGAGGCCGCTGAGCCCCAGCGCGAAGAAAGCGAACGCACACCACAGTCCGCCGCAGCGGCGCCGGCGCCCACCCGATCCGCCGCCGCCGCCGGCGACCGCGTGCTCACGCCTCCTTTCGGAAGGTACGGCCCCCCCCTGATGAATCCCTCCCGTTCCCCGCTCGAATTCACGCTCGCCGGGTCGAATTCGTCGCGCGCAGATCCGTTTATGCTCTCGATTTGATTCCAAGCGCGTTCGCGTCTGTTTCCCCCTCATTTCCAGGAGGGGGCAAATCCATGGAGCAGCCCGCCGCTCCCGATCGGAGCGATGTCCCGGCCGGGGAGTGCGAATGGCGGGAGGAGCTGCGGCGGCAGCAGTCCCAGGTGGACGCGCTGCGGGAGCGGCTCGTGGAGGTGAAGGTCGGGATGCGGTGCTCCGAGGGCGACTCCCGGAGGGAGCTCGACCACCTGTGCCGCAGGGTGAAGACCATCGCCACGCTGCTGGCGTACCTCAAGTCCAAGGCGAGGATCATGGCGATACCGCACCTCGCGCACACCTCCTGCGGGATCAGGCAGCAGGAGGGCGTCGGGTACGTCGACCGGCACGGGGTGCCGCTGGCGGACTGGCCCAAGGGCAGCGCCGGGCCTGCGCCTTGCGGGGCAGGTTCCGGTGATGTGATGGTGGCGGCGGAGGGTGGTGCTGCTCCTGTGCACGGCGATGCCGCCGGGGGTGGTGTGGATGTGGATGACATTCTCAAATCCATCCGCGTTGTGACTGATGTGATGGAGTCGCTTGTGAAGAGGGTGATTGTGGCCGAGTCCGAAGCAGCTAACGAGAAAGAGAAGGTGAGGATGGGGTTGGAAGAGATCAGGAGGAAGACGCTGCAGGTCGAGACTATGTCTGCCAAAGTTGAGGAGATGGAGAAGTTTGCGGTGGGTACGAATGGGATGTTGAATGAGATGAGGCAAAGGGTTGAGGATATGGTGCTGGAGACCACTCGGCAGAGACAGCGCGCTGCTGAAAATGAGCAGGAGCTTAGTCGGGTAAAGCAGGATTTCGAGTCCCTGAGAACTTATGTTAGCACTCTGGTTAGTGTCAGAGAAACTCTTCTCTCATCAGAAAAGCAATTTGAAACGATGGAGAAACTCTTTGACAGGTAATTTTGCAACCGTTAAGCTGTGTTAGTTATTGTTCTTTTTATGAGTGCATTGCCAAAGTTCCAATTTACTGGGGAAGAACAATCTAGAATATGAAGAAATGGTCTGGTTGGATGCCTTAATATTATTTAGTCTCATTTTTCATTAGGTAGAGTTTCAACAATGAAGTGTCTACTAATTTTCAAAAAAAAAAGTGTCTACTCTTTCATTACATAAAATTCTGGAAACATTGCCATTATAAAAATTGGGTATGAGGCAACTGCCACACAGGATGGTTTTGTAGGCCTGATGAAGTTTAGGAGAACACGCAATGACACTGCATGAGCTGTAGTTTTTTCCACATTCACAATGATAAATTGGTATCTAATTCTTTTTGTCTTATAATCTATGTCTGACATGAGTTCTTCCAGCTGTCAAGAGGGCTTTCTTATGTTAGCAACTTTGCCCCAATGCCCTATTATTTGCTAAGTAGCAAATATCTCATTGTCTATACTTTATGGGCATAAAACTCAAAACGTCTTCAGCTGGCTTCTCTGCAGCACACATGTTCATCATTTTCTCCATGGTTAATAATTTCTGATGCTATTTTGTTTTGTGGGATTTAGCTAAATGTTGCTGCTTGCACTGGGTCCGGTTAACTATCATTGAATCTTTGAATAAAATTGATACTCTTCGATCTGATTGTCAGCACCTAGAAAATATGGTGTATATAAGGTAATGTGGTAGCACATCCAGTTCTTATTGCTCCACATTCTCTTTTATCGTAACAGGATTTCTCCACATTTCCAAAATGTACTGGTTCAAGGATGAAGAAGATGCACACCTAAAGGCATACAAATTCGAATGATAGTCTAACAACCTGCTTTTACTGGTCTGCATCTGGATGCAATACAAAACTACTGCTTTCTGAACCTGATAGATTTCAGTTTCTGATCTTACATTTAATAAGCTTCCTGCAACTCAAACACTTGCAGAACTGGTCATCTAGTTGAGAAAGTGTATATGAGAGTTGAAAAGAAAATTAGAAGTCACATTCTAGGGGATAAGAAAGAAAAAGATCATATGCTTCTTCATTGTCTTCTGTCTATTTTCTTCTTTTTTCTTGTTTGTTTTTGGTTCTTGATACAGGTTTAGTCAGTTTGTTGTGGTCATAAATTCTCCAGAGAAGTCTGGTGAAATGCTCCTCCTCTAAACCTCATGAAAGCAAGGTCCATGATATTGCTGCATGTGCATGAACACATTTCTAGATATAACGGAGAGCATGCTTTGGTACTTTGGCTTGTCTTCCAAACTGTTAGTTTTACTTTACCAAGTCAAGTCTGTTTAGCAGTTGGCAGGCAAGTCCTGTTTATATTCTGCTACATAGCACCCAAATTTTAACTCTTTAACTGTACTTATTGTGAAATTGAGTTCCTTGTCCTTGTGAACAGATTAGTTGCCAAGACTAACCAGCTCGAGAGCGAGAAAGCTCAGAAAGAAACTGAAGTCCATAAAGTGATGGAGGAGAATGTGAGGCTACGCACTATGCTTGACAAGAAAGAGGCGCAGCTCCAGGCGATGAGTGAGCAGTGCAAGTTTATGGCACTGAATCACCACAACTAGCAGGCGATGGGCCTGAGGCGGCTACCCTCGCCCTACTGATGTACCTTACAAATTACAGTTACATTGTTGATTGTTGTGATAGAGAAAGAAGAAAGAAAGAAAGAAAGAAGAGATGCCGTGGGATACAACTCATGCCGAGGCCTGAGTTCCATGGCTGTAATTCTTGGTGCAAACAATTGTTTCTTTAGGTGTGCTGCTCTGCTGAACTGTAACTCGACATTTGTTTTTCATGATCAACAAGGTGTGTAGAATACCGGATGCCATGTGCACATGTGTCTTAATTTCGCAACCTGACTGCGAGTATCATTGTGCTTTGCCTTAGCCGGCTACAATTTTAACCAGGGTGCTGTGAACGACGACGCTAAAGATGATATTGGTGGACATGCCGCAGTGAAGCTGAGCCGCTGTTTTTTTTGGGTGAGAATTGCTATGGTGGATTGAGCTAAACTAATTTCTGGCAGTAACTATAGTGAGGTTGAAATTTAGGCATTCTGTGTTCTACTGTATCACTATATATTATGTGCGACATTAGGCTACACCCTTTGAGCAATACTTGTTGAGAATGTGAGTTATTGAGTTACATTCTGAAGATCGAGTGCAATGCTGTTGAACCACCCTGGAAAGTACTGTAAACAATCCAGTTGGTCACAGAGCTCTGGGTCTTGCTTTATCCTCCATTTCTCCTGGCTTGCTCTGGGTCTGCGTGCTACAACTTAAAAATTGTTTATTTACATGGAAAATTAGCTGGAACTAGGAGCTAACGACGTATTTTTTTCCCCTTCTCACTACAGTCTACACCCTCCGTACCAAAAAGACTGTTGTTTTAGAATGAGATTCATTTCGAAAATGACGGTCTTCAAGGGAGTATAACTTTTCTCTCCATAACCTGAGCATCTCCGGTAGGAGGAGAAAACTCCAACAAAAAAAAACTAGTTATCAGGGGAGATACAAAACGTGTTTTGAAATTTTGAAGGTCTTCTCTTCAGCAGAACGAGAAAATCCAATCCCTAATGAAAAAAATAGTGGATTTGGGGAGGAGAGGTCTCCCCTTTATTTGATGATTGAGGAGTGAGAGGCTATGATTTGAGAGACTAAGAATTTTTTTTTCTCACTGGGATTGAAAAACTGCTGGAGCTATAAAATTTTTAAAATAACAGTTTTTTCTAGTTGAGGATTAGAAAAAAAGAGACCCTGGAGATGCTCTTATACAAGTATGGCCTTGTTACGTGATTAGACAACTGCTGCCTTTGGTTTTTTCCTTCTCGTGTTTTGTTTCCTAATCCAACTGCGTGCGTGGACCTCGTTGTGCTCACGCGGCGACTGGCTCCTCCAGTCCTCCTGTCCTGCTAGGCTGCTACTGCTACTGCTACAACTACTTGTACCCGCGCCGCGCACGCCCATCCCTTCGCGCACGCAACGCAAGCACAGACACGCGCGATCCGATCCGATCTGCGCCGCCCGTCCAGCCATGGCGACTAGGGTTTGGCTCACCGCCCTCCTCCTCGCCTTCCTCCTCGCCGCCTCCCCCTTCACCGCCCGAGGTACCCTTCCCTTTCCTTCTCTCCTCCTTCGCTTCCCGCCACGCAGATCCGCCCCGCTAGTCGTGAATTCCGCGCTAGATCTGTGCGCGCCGGAAATGGAGCTGATCGGGCTCGGCTGGGCTGCGGCGGATTGGGACTTTGGGCGTGCTCGGTTGGGGGTTAGACCGGTGGTTTTGAAGGGGGTTTGGGACGCGTTGGTCGGATGTACAGAGTGGGGTCCTAGATGCGACGGGTTGAGGGGTCTTGGGGAGCGTTAGTTGGCAGAATTTTGGGCGAAGTTTATGTGATGCTGACTTCCTCAAATGGGTGAATCTGTGCTTGCATGTTGCTAGCTAATCGTCTGAGGATTGGCTGTCATTGGAATTTTCCGGAATTTCTCGATAATGTTTCATTGCTGTCATGCAGACTGTAATTTTTCAGTTGGTAAAATTTTTAAAATACAACATCAGTGCCTTTTAGTAATCCCATGCGACTCTAACAAATGCTTATGAAAGTAGAAGCTGCAGTCACCGTTCACATTAGACAATTAAAGTGAGTAGCATGGGTTTAAATTTCAAGTACTCATCATGCTGAACTGCTTGCACCACATGTCTTTTAATCAGCTAGGATAAGTTCTCTGTTTGTGTTCTATCATTGACTCACTTTTGCAATAATGGTCTTATTATGCCTGAAGCTCAAAGTGGATATTGTTGCTAATGCTAAAAGTTACTGTCTCTGCAAGTATGCTTTATCCTGTTGCTCAACCCAAGATTGGTAAAACTATGGAATTGGCAAATAGAATGTGTTTTATCTTCTGTATCTTGTTTAACAAATGTCTCATGTTGTCCATATCCACAGTTGATACAACTCCGCATACACCCTTCCTTCCTTACCATGTCTTTTTGCACTGAATTGAGCTTTCCTCCCCTTTGCACAGTTGCTAGAGCTGAATCGGAGGAAGATGCTGCTGCAGCTGAGGTTGTTGAAGGGGCTGATCTAGGTATTGTGGGTGATGATACACAGGTTTCCAGTGATGGACCTTTAAGCCCTGCTCCTGGTGTAGAGACAGTAGTTGTCTTCCCCAAAAATGCTGGCAAAAGTGAGTATACTTTCAATTAGCATCCATTATTTATCTTATAATTCACCATGGTCTCTGTATTTATCACTTGCGATAAACTCTAAACTGGACTCCATGAATACCTGCAGCATGTGATGTTCCTTTAATTATATATAGTCTATCTCATGATCACAGTAACCAATAATGCCTACCTTTTTTATTTTGTTGCAGTTGTACTAGCAGGTGAAGAAACTGAATTACTAGTTGGTCTGCAAAATGACGGTAACCATAATTTTCCCTCCCATTTCTTTCTTTCTTTTCTCTTTCTATAGCAAATTGGCATTAATTCCCATTTATATACTATACAACTTTTCCTTTTTGCTGGTGGCTCATGTTGAGTCCCATCTCTAGTCTACCCCAACTTGATTGAGACCAAAAGGCTTTGTAGCTGCTTTGGGCTTTGCTTACATCTGTTTGTTCATGCAGAATTTGTTAACTGCATGCTTATATGTTCTATGTATTGTTTTGTTAATGCGTAGTAACTCAGTGCAGGTTCATGTTCATTTCCATTTGTGGTAGCATGTGGTTCTAAAATTGATTTGGTTATTCAATGTTGGCCAGCTAGTTTGTATATTACAAGTTTTGTGTAGTCATCATGTTTGTTGTCACTATTGAAAGAAACTTGGTTGTAGTTGAACTAAATGGAGAACATAGATTGCAAGGCATGGTTGGCCCTTAAAAGACCAGTTTGATTTTTGTTCAATGGATGTTTCTATACTGTTCATCCCAAATTTAATTGTATACTTTCACTTTTAGTTGGCCATATTAGGTTAACCACATCCCCCCCCCCACACACACACACACACACACCAAAACACTTTTTGGGTACTCTGGGCTTATGGTTTTATCGCCTTCACTATTTCGTTGACATGCTAATTCCTGTGTGTGCTTTTCATCCTTTGCTTACACTGTGTTTACAGGTGAATCAACTTTGAATGTTGTTGCTGTTCATTCAACTCTCCATCTTCCTTTTGACCATCGTATGTATGGCCAGAACCTTACTGTTCAGGTTAGGAAAGAAATTTAGTCCCCTTATTGTTTGTCATCTTTTATTCTTGCTGAAGTAACTGTGGCACTTTTTGATTTATACATCATCTAGCCATTTTTTTGAATTAACTGTGGCACTTTTTAAAATGATATTAACAACTTTTTATCACCTGTTTTATTTTTTCTACAGAATTTCTTCAATGCATCAGTTCCTGTTTCTGTGCAAGCAACCTTCCCTATAAATTCGTTGTGAGCAAGTTCTTGCAGGTGTGTTAAATTTTCTTTTACCTCTGAAACATTTCATTTCACGATATTCATGTGTCTTTTACCTTCAATGCATCAGTTTTTGTTACCATGAATACCTAATGTTTTGTGCCCTTGCAGCCTGGAGCCTATGATCTGGTTGGTTACATAGTGTATGAGATCGACCAGCACCCTTACCAGAATGTATTCTACAATGGCACTGTCGAGGTCGTTGAGGCTGGAGGCTTACTCAGTGTTGAGTCTGTGTTCCTCATCACCCTTGGAATTGCACTTCTTGGTCTCTTTGGATTGTGGGCATATGGCCAGGTTCAGCAGCTCTCGAAGGTAATCCTGTATTCTAAATTTCTTAGGGTAATCTGTACCTTTCTTCAGTAAATATAAGCTGTTCAGCATTCAATAAACCATAGTGAGGTGGTAACTCAGGTTGTTTCTTTGTGATTTACCTGAATCCCAGTACATTCAATAGTCAAAAGTTTACTTGAAGGGGTAATGTTGAATATTACTCTAGAGGTGGACTACACACCCCTACACAGACTGAAATCATACACTAATGCTGTGTGGTGCATAATTTTCGTATTTAGTTATCATCAACTTGTTTTGGCGCTGATTAATACCAAAATTCATTGCGTGCACTGATTTGTATATCGCTCTCTTTAAGTCATTTTTTTTAACTAATATCTTGTAGAAAACAAAGAAGGCACCCAAGGTGGAGCTCGGAACCGGAACAACTGATGCCAACATGGATGAGTGGCTGGAGGTATGTTCTTGCTCACTAAACTGGGGTAAACTTCTTTCATGAAATGCGACCGTGACGAGTTGACATGCCTTCCCTCTTTTACCTTGCAGGGCACTTCGTTTGCGCAGAGAAGCAAATCCAAGAAGAAGCAGACCTGAGGCTCTCCAGACTAGTTAATCCTTGAGGATCTAGAATGAGGCATTTGAGGGTAGCCCTTCACAAGTGACTTTTGCAGAAAGATAGATGCGAAAGGAGGTGCTGAAACTGTAGTTTCGTGGTCGAACATCTTTGTTGACACCATTTTCGACCTTATGTACTTTACATGGAACTTCTCTTCAAACAAAATTTTGTTAAAAAAGGTATATGCTGTTGCCGCTGGGATTTCTTATCTTATGCGCACATTTTTCTGTCATGACCACCCCAGGATTTTCCTTTTTTGGGTTGTGTAGCCGAAGCCCGGCTGGCAAGCTGAAATTGTTTTGTGCGTTATCCTTGTGCTTGTTCTCCATCGCTTGGAATGGTTGCGTCACGCATGGCATTAGGCGAAACCAGCAAGTCGATTATCTCAAACGTTATTGCAAAGTCAGCAAATGTATTATAGCAAACGGGTTTCCTTTTTTCAGGCTGAACTCAATGTACAGACTTGAGTACTTCCTTCACTGACTAGTGACTGGGATTACCTCAATAAGCACAAGGCATAAGGGACGGAAATATTCCCTCCGTTCTAAAATAAGTGATGTTTTAGTTTGTTCTAAGTTAAACTATTTCAAATTCGATGTAAAACCTCGATAAGCACAGACGGGTAGGAAATAGGCCTGCCAACGGCTGTTTTCTTTTAACTTGAACAGGTAATAACCTGTTTGAATCCACTAGAGCTAACCCTAAGGTGCTATTAATCGCTAAAAAAAAACTGAAGTGCTATATGGATCTTTATTTACTCCTATTTGAATCCTTATTTACTGTCTCCGGACTGATTTCTAAGGGCAGCTCTCGCACTGTTCATTCGATCATATTAGCTATGCTTATCAGCTATGATATAATATTTTTTCAAACAAAAAAACAACGTCAGACAACTTATAAGCCACGTGAACGATCAAACGAACGTGGTCTATTGGTGGTTTTACGGGACGAAATCACCTCCCGTCCCCGCTGCTCTGCTCTCTCCTCTCATATGCACCCACGAATATTTTGGGGTCTTGACTCTTAAATCATCTACCGCGCTGCCTTGTTGGCGAAGACAGGATTCTCGAGCACGCTTGAGCCAGAAGCCGCCCCGCCGCCCGCCCGCCGTCTCAATCCCAGCCATCGTCCTTTCATGGGGCTGCTGGCTCTAAATCACCTCATTTCCTTTCGGCGGCGGCGGCAGCAATGGGAGCGGCGCCGGCGGCCTGGCCAGATTCGAGACCCTAGTAAGCCCTCTCCACCTCTATTAAACCCTCCTTCCATTACAGTTCAAATGGTAACGGCACATTTTCAACGAAACCAAAATTACAGTGGCATGCTTCCAAGTGCATGAATTGTAGTGGCGTACTATCTCCAAACAAATTGTAATGACATGGTTCCAATTAATCCACCCCCGCACCCCCCCCCCCCAAAAAAAAAAAAAAATCCTTACTTTGGTGGATACAAAGTTACTCTTTTTTTCCCCCTACTAGGAGACCAAGCACATTTTTTTTTACATCTATGTATCCGAGCCCAGCAAAACATTATTTTGCTGATACATAGAAAGACTGCCCCTTTCCTCTATATTCTTCTATAAGCTGGCTAGCTAATGTTTTCATTTGACTCTAAATACCACAAGGAGGCTCCATTGGAAACTTTGGTTCCCGGGAGATTTCAAGAGGGAAAAAACATGCATCCAGTATTAATAGTAACTTTTTATAGAGTGCTCTTCAGTATCCAACCAAACACTACAGCGAGTAAGCATTGCATTAGATTTGTGTCCATGCGGAGAAAGTAGCATGTATGCCAATACCTTGTTTGGCTCAGTATAAGGTTGGTGCTGGGAATTGGGAGGAGGGCAATGGGGGCTGGGGCTGGGGCTAGGGTTCACTATCTCCCTGGTTGGTACACTCCACTCCAGTGTTCATTTGGACTGTACATAACTGATAAAACTTGGGAAACATTGTAATCTCTTCCAAGAACGCATACATATGCTGACACAAGTGATGGGTTATGAAGCCTGTTTAGTTGCACAACATTTGGTTGACAAACAAATTGCACCTGCATATGCATCGGTGTGCTTTTCTTGTTCTATTGTCATAACCAAGATGTGTTTAATTGCAGATGGGTTGGTTTCTTCATTTGGTAATGGGAAGAGATCTAGCCACAAGGATAATGGCAGTCCAAAAGGTGGAAACAAAATGAGATATTCAGGACCAGACCTCCCAGAGGTACGGTAATGCTGATAATGGAAGCCATATATGCAGATAACTAGAGGACACTAGTGCATTGCAAACAATTTCTTTACAGTGGAACATGTTGGATAGCTTTACTGGATATACATGAGTGTTTATACTACATTTAAGTTGGCTGGGTGGGGAATCAAGGATTTGACTATCAACTGATATATTTGAAGCAGTAAAGAAACATCACCATGGCTGCTCTAACTGTATAAACTCGTGGATCTGTGCTAGCTTGTAAAATCTCATGAACCGATGAATGTCATCTTTGTTAGCTGTGTTATACTACATCACACCTCTACTTTGTCCAGCCTTTACCAGTTTACCCTCTAGCAGAAAACTGCCATTAGTATGTCATAAGGAGTAGAGCCTGTAGGCGTCTTGTTGAAAAATTTCTTATCAGATGTGCTTCTTTTGCTACGACTAGTTAACTACCTGTGGATTAGAAGGGATTCTTTAGTGGCAGATCGAGGCACTGTCGACAACCTCTGATGCGACCCCCTCCCCTTTTCTAAACCTACACATTTGCCGTGGCTGCATCAGTATGTTCACACGAGCTCCTCTGCAGCTTTCTCTGTCACCAAGCTTAATGTTTCTCCAACATTACTTTTTCCAACTTTGTGCTCGTGACCAAATTAGCCCCTGATGGGATAAGTCTCATGTGCTGGTCTTTGTGGGGCTGGCTGCAGCATATGGTGGCTGCAGGTCCTTGTGGGCTGCAGGTCCTTGTGGCTGCAAGGACAGCATCTCCTTGACTGACTGGAGGACAGCATCTCCTTGACTGACTGGAGGACATCATCTCCTTGACTGGAGGACAGCATCTTAGCTAGGACAACATATTAGCATCTTATACTAGTATCTTAGACTAGCATCTTGGCATATGCTTGGCTGGCTAGCAGTCTATAAATATGTATCCCCAACCCCTCAGGTTGGTATGGCATTTGTATGAGTTTGTGTGAAATAAACCAGAAAATTGCCCCAACTCCTAGTGTCATCCTCTCTCGATGAGAGTAAGAATTCTGCTACTACCAAGAGTGAGAATTCAGCGACTAACAGCCCCAAGTGGCTGACAAATATAACATGTGGTGCAGCTTCATTTGGCCTTGGTGATCGATAGAACTAAGACAATGAGGGTTGGGTGTTACCGAAATTTCCCTGTAGGAGAACAGGAGGTTGACAGGTTGTTGTAAGACACATTTTGTTTTTTTGAACCTAATAAGACTATTTTTAGAGGTCATTATATTGTTTCTGGGTAGCAGAGCAGTGTTTTAAGCAGCAGGCATTAGTAGTAGGTATACTCCCTCCCTCATTGATTTTTGATGTTCAACTAACCAACATCAAATATTAAGGGATGGAGGTAGCATTTTTTTCACGGGATTTTGTTAGAGGTCAGTTTTATTTGATTTTAGTTGTGGGGTTGTGTGGCCCCTATAGTGTGAATAAATCACCACTGCAGTTTAAACTTGTTTATCGTTACCAAAATTTAACTTTTAGCCCATGCTTGTGCATGCAGGATATATGGCGTCATATTCATTCCCTACTGCCACTCCGAGACGCTGCCCGTGCTGCCCTTGTGTCTCGTGCCTTTTTAGATTCTTGGAGATGCCGTCCCAACATAACATTCAGCAAAACATCACTGGGCTTGGATGGCAAGGATGAAATAACAAGGGATTTTAACAGCACAGTTGACCACATCCTGAAAAAACATTCTGGTGTTGACTTGAAGAGTCTGAAGATTGAATTCTTTGGTTACAATGCCGACGCCCATTGTTATCTCAATAGTTGGCTCAAGAATGTTGTTACCCCAGAGCTTGAAGAACTCACCCTAGTGCCACCTCGTTACAACTCAAAATACTGTTTCCCATCCTCACTTTTATCTAATGGAAGTGGAAACTCAATTCGGCATCTACACCTTTCTCGGTGCACCTTCAGTAGTACTGCTGGACTTGATTGCTTGAAAAAACTGACAACTTTGAGTCTACATCAGGTGCGAATCACAGGGGATGAGTTAGGATGCCTCCTTTTGAATTCCACTGCTTTGGAGGACTTGAATTTACTTTATTGCAACAAGATAGGTTGCCTGAATATACCTTTTCTTATGAAGCGGCTCAGCTGTCTCAGTGTGTGTGAATGTGACAAACTGCAAGTGATAGAGATCGAAGCTCCAAATATCTCCACTTTCCACTTTTCATCATATGGCCAAGTACAAGTCTCACTTGCAGGATCATTGCATGTGAAGTACATAACACTGAGCATGGAGTGTGCCATCTCTTATGCTTGTGTCAAGCTTCCTTCCGTTGTGCCAAATCTGGAAACTCTTTCTATTAGTTCGTCTTATGAGGTATTTTGTTAACTCTTGGGTGATTGTAGATTAGTGGATTCCTTGGTGATTGTAGATTAGTGATTCTGGGTGATTGTAGTCTAGTGAAGTGGTTAACTGGTTATATATTAGGAGTCTGAAACATATTTATGCAGGTGGTTGGCACACCGATGTTGCCGAGCAAATTCCTACATCTCAGGTTCTTGGGTATTACTCTATGTGGAGCTGCGTTTTCCCGTGCTTATGACTGCTTCTCGGTGGTTTCTTTTATTGATGCCGCACCTTCGCTGGAGAGTTTTGTCTTGGGAGTTAGTCATTGTTTATCCTGCAATGGTAACTAGTAATTTTTTCTTTTTTTTGTGTATCTATATGGCAGAACTATTAATTCTGGCATTTTTTTTAAAAAAAATCTTCAGGTGTCACAGTTATGGATGCAGCATGGCTCGATTGTTGGAGATCCCTCGCCTCTGAGGCAGATGGCAGGACAACGCCACAACAGCCTCAAGACTCTGACGATCAATGGCTTCTGCTCCGCAAAGAGCTTGGTTGAGCTAGCATGCTATATTCTTGAGAATGCTGCATCACTTGATTGCCTTACATTGGACACCACCTTGGGTCTTCTTCCACGGTGCTCTGTTATGGTTATGGAGTCTGGGAAAACGCTCTTGGCCATTAGATCGTACATCAAGGACAAAGTCCCCCCTGCAGTTAAGTTGAATGTTCTGGGGGCCTTGTAGCTTGTGTCAGGATTTGCAACTCTAATTATTTCCGATTGTATAATTATGTGTAACATTAAGCTACAGTCATTTTGAACAGTAGTTGTTGAGTTACACTCTGAAAATTGTTTGTATCCTGTAATGCCTGACAACCAGCCTGTTCGCTGGTTGGTTTCTAGGCTGATAAGTCCGGCTGGTGCTGGTTTGTTGTGAGAGAAAAATACTGTACCATGGCTGATAAGCCCTGGTTGAACCAACAAGCGAACAGGCCGAACAGGCTGAATATCCACGACGAAATGAAATGTCATTGTTTCTATCCTGTAATGCCCGACAATATCCACAGCGAAAAACGAAACGAAATGTCATTGTTTTGTTTTTTTAAGATGGAAAAAACGACTTCATTGTCCAGGCAAATCGCTGGCCCTAAGACAGGGATTTCATCTCCATAGAATAGCGTTACACCCAGATGAAAGGATATCTTTACAGTTCAGACCTAGAGCTGCTATAGACTAGCGCTACTGAATTACAAGCCCTTGGGCAAACTGAATTACATGAACGGACATCTCCTAGACCCAGAGTACACAAAATCCCTCCTCGACCGATCTCATCTCCATCCGATCCATCCACCATGAGCATGGCGGCGGCGACGGTCACGCCGGGAGGGCTGCTGCTAGATCTGACGATGGCACAGGGACGACGACGGGGAGCTTGAGGTGGACCCGCAAGCGTCGTCTACCGACTCCACGCCGGCCTCAACCTCCAGCAGCGGCATCCACCTCAAGCACCGGCAAGCGCCCCTCCCCGTCGTCGTCGTCGTCCGTGTGCATCGCCAGATCTAGCAGCAGGCACAACAGCCCCCGGCGTGACCGTCGACATGCCCATGGATGCAATTTCTGAAGATGTCACGTTTCACTTTCAGTTCCACCTGCTTATATGCAGAGATTGTTTTTTTTTAACTAATGGAAAAGCTCTCTTTTTTTACCAATAGAGCGCTTTTACTACCACAAGTCCCAACCCTTCAATGCTAGCATTTCTGGACAAATATTCATGCACTAGTATTTGGCATTCTTTTATATGGCGATGGTACTAGTGTTTAGCATTCTTTTATATGGTGACGATTGATATTTAGCATTTTTTCCTGGATGGGTTCTCAGAAGACGAACTGGCATTACTATTAGCAACCAATAAAACCTTAAAATCATCATCAGAATTAAAAACCAATAAACAGAATGCAATGATGGTGGAGTACGAGGAGGCATCAGAGTCATGGAAGACGAGCAACATGGCTAGCCTCTTCGGAGGCAGCTTCTGCAACTCGAGCAGGATACACATGTCGTCATCTGCCTCAGGAAGGTCCCTCCAACTAAAATCGAATTCAAACATTAGTACATTATTATTACCAAACTCTGAATCTCTAACTAAATTTCGACGGTGCTGCAGGTTAATTCCTAATCCATTAAGCCATTAAGGTGGGGGCGAAGCTGGCAGGCATCAGAGTCATGGAAGACGAGCAACACAGCGTGCCTCCTCGCGGAGGCAGCAGCTTCTGCTTCGTAAGCAGGATACACATGTCGTCATCTGCCCCCAGCAGCATCCCCCACCAACTGACCAACCCAATCCAATCAATCAATCTAACCCCGAGGAAGAACTCGAGGCTCTGATTGGCAGCCATTATAAGCCGGCTTAAATCATGATACTCCCAACAAAAACAGTCGTACAATTCAGCACCAGCTGCGTAGGCGTAGACCAGCCGATCAGAGCCCGAAGCGCAAACCGAAATCGGCAAACAAAAACCGCATTAAAAAAAGCCACAAGTTGAAGGTTTCTCGAACTGAAAAACGCGCAAGCGGGCATGGATGGAACATTCGGGCTCTCCGAAGAAGAAAAGCATAAACAATTTGTTGGCGGCGGCGGCTGAAGAGACGGGAATGGGATGGCCGGCGGCCCGTGCGGTCTTTATGGACGGTGACCGTGGGTGCTAGGGTTGGGTTGAGTGCCCTCGGCCGCCTTTACATTCTCCAGGACGACACCTGGACGCATCTTGGCCGTCCGATCCGCAGCGGCTGATGATGGCGCGCGTCGTCAGTTGCGCTTACGATTGTCTCCTCTGATGACGTAAAAAAGAGTAATTTTGCCGTCGCACAAGTTGTATCGACGACCTGGACATCAATTATGCAGTATTACAGTTACGAGAAAACGCAAACAATTTGATTGTACAAGAGTGAGATGCTGCAAACTTTCCAACGATATTTGCCCTGTTCGCTTGGCTGATAAGCCATGGCTGAAAGTACTGTTGTTTAATTTGTTATGGGAAAAAATATTGTTCATTAACTGAAAAAGTATGGCTTATAAGCCAAGCGAACATGGTGATCGACAGCATATAGTACTTTACAGAGGAGAATGCAACGGAGATAGTGGGTGTCATCCTTCATATTTACAAGGTACAAAGAACTGGATTGCATTCATCTATACCATCCCAAACAGTCACCATGTCTGCAGCTTATATAGGGGGTACGAAATCGTAAACAACCAACAGTGCCACCATAACGTCTAGTTGTCCGGCTTGATTATGCCCATCCTAACGCCTGAGGTTGCCTCGTTGACCCCCACACACCGACCCACCCACCCACCACCCCCTCTCACATCTCTTATTATTAAACCGGGAGACTTTGGCCGCCAACGAGGGTGGCCACGTCGCCCGAAATTCCCTTGGCCGTCCGATCCTGCGGTCGACAGTATAGATTGTCTCCGTAGATTGCTATAGTACCTCGCCCCCGCTGAAACCCTCGCCGTCTCTCCCCGACCCCGACGCCCTCATCCTCTCCTCTCTCTCTCTCTCTCTCTCTCTCTCTCTCTCGATCCATGCCACCATGGCGACCGTGTGCGGAGCGCACCGTCGGGCCGGCGCAGGTGCGGCCGCCCTCCTCCTCCCCCTCCCCCCCACACCCCCACACTGTGCACTCCCCCCATCTCTCCTCTCCACTCGCTACCTCTCTCTCCCGATGCCGCCAGGCAGCGACGGCCATGGCCGGTGCTGTGGGCAATGGGCGATCTGGGCAGAATCACCGCCGCCGGCACTTCCATGGAGGAGGCACAGCCTTGCCCTCTCTCGCCCCACAGCTGCTGTGTGTTGGGGTTCGCTCTCTCCTTCCTCCCCTCCCTTCCCACGCCTTGGCTGGGATGTAGCCTTGTCGGCTCGGTCTGCCTTGCCGGCGGAGGCCCAAACCGGCGGATCCGGTGCCTCCATGGCCGGATCCGTCTGTCCTCCCGTCCGATCTGTGCAGGCAACAACCTTCCGGAGGCCATGGCCGTTGGTGCCGTGGTGGACGACCGTGGGCTCCTGCGCGTCTTGTCCCGCTGCTCCGCTTCCCTCCGCTCTGTTGTGGCGCTGCAGCCAGCGCCGCCCGCCTACTGCGACCGGTCCGCGGCGGCGGCGCCCATCCTCCTCCTCCTCCTCCTCTGCCCTCCCTCCCCTTACTCTCCCTCTCTCCCCTTCCCTCCCGAGGCTGCGGTGAGCGCAAGGCGATGGCGCCCCCTGCGGGCGCCACGCCGGTGTGCGTGGGGCCCGGTGGCCTCCTTCCTCTCCCCCATCCTCCGCACGGCCTCCTCAATGCCCCCTGTGAAATGCTAAGTACATATTTTGCATTTGGATTCCCTCTATCCCTTTTACTCAGAACTTGACACTTATGCATCTTCTTAGAGCATCTGATCTGACTATACAAAGGTGCAATATGCTCCTAAGTGGATCAGTTACCATGAATAATGTGTTATGTTTATTTACCTAGATATTATATTCTTGTCTTGTGCATTCTGAGTTGACCACATTGATCCTCTTTATTATTTATAGCTAATTGCGTTCAATACATTGTGTGCTCACAGTTTTTTTGAGCTGAGTGTGGATCATAATGCTGCTTAGATCTTATAGAAGAGGTCCTTTATAGCTCTTCAAGGGCTATACAATTAAGTTGTGTTGTATTCTGATTCCTGTTTATTCTTTGACCTAATCTAGTGGAAGGGCATGGGGAACCAAGAGCTCCTTGATTATTTCGGAGAATATGCAGCAACTAAAGCACGTCATGCCTATGGTCCCTCTGGGCACCGTGGTATGAGTGTGTTAATATTTGAAAGCTCAGCTGTCAGCTACATGGAAGCTGAACGTCTACATAGGCACTTTGTTAATCAAGGTAAAGACAGGAATGCATGGTAGCTCAACAAGGTTCGATTCGTACCTGGTGGGAAAAGGCTGCTATTTGGTTTCTTAGCGAGCAAAGAGGATATGGAGGAGTTTAATAAGCATTGCCATGGTACTGTTTCTTACAAAATTACTGCTTTCTATTCTGAGTATGCTTTTTTTTATCTGGTAAACAACATGATTTAATGGACTTCTCCCTGAATTCTTTATGCCTTGAATTATTACTGCTTTCGATTCTGTTGTTTTCCTTTCCTTTTTACATCCTGTTTAATCTATCGACGCTAAGCGGGATTTTTATGGTGGCTGGAACATAACATCAGTCTATTTCATTTAAGTTTTAAGGTGCATTACTAGATGCTCTGTTTGGATTTGTTCCTTTTCAAGAGCAGTTCATATTTCTAAATCTGGATGCAGCACTTAGATTAAAGCATCTTGTTGGGAGAGCAATAACAGCAAAATCTTGCTAATATTTCACAACGCTTCCACCGACTAACTTAATCCACAGTGGAGCACAACTTAAAATGACGCTTATTTTTAGGAAGAACGATACTCGAGCTGTAGATTTCCTTCTTTATAGGCCAATCAATTCTGGTTTAGTGCAGCTCCCTTCTTCACGGGCCTGCTTGTGAAGGCAGGATTTCTCTATGAACTTATGGAATGTGGCCTTTTGAACTAAATCATATGGCCATTAGACCGCTTCCTGATAACTTACGAATCATCGAAGCAAAATGCTTCTTTGTGTGCCATTGTTGTCTTGTTTGTGAAAATGAAAATACATCACCTCTCTTGACTGATAAACCATTGCTCATTATGAATGGGTGAACAAATTGTGACCACAGGGACTATGACTTTTCAAACAGTACAACAGATAGATCAAAGAATTGAAATGTGTGTAAGATAATCTGCTGCTCCGCTTGATTGTTTTGCTGCAGCAGGGATTAGGCAATAGGTCATCTATTGCTGTCCATCTACCTATCTAGCCTACTCTAGCGGTACGGCAATAGGCCAACCCTGTAATGGCTTACCTCAGCCATGTCTAAGTAGTTGAGGGCTCATCTCATTTCTCATGCAGTGTGAAGACCTCAAATAGTTTATTACATTGGCTTCTATGTTCTTGCTAGGAAATGTGATCTACCACATCAAGCATTTCATGTTTAGAATTCTAAATAGTTTTACCATATTAAATATAAAAAGACCTCCAATCTTTCAGTTTTTATGCAACAGATATCTACATTAAACTCATAATATTGTTTCCATACAGATATTAAACATATTTTTTACCTGCGCCTTAACCAGGTGATTGGCCGGCGCGCGTAATGGACTAGTGAGAAAGAAAACAGCATCAACGGTTGCAGCGCAGAAGTAGACACGTGTGCCGCTTGCTGAGAATAAGAAAGCAGCTTGTTCCTGAGAAAATAAGCACGGGGGCTTCCGCTGCAGAATGATGACATCTACTTCTGCTGAGTGATAGCATCGCTGCAGAACTTCTTGAAATTTTGGCACTCGTCAGTCAGGAAGTCACTGCAAAATTTGACAGGATCTCATAACTGTATTCTTGAGAGGCAGAATAGAGATGGAAGAGGGATAGACCATGGACTTACTAGATACGTTCAACCATATCTGCCTGATCCCATCTAGGACTCCAGGGGTAGTCATTTATTGGGGGCGACATAATAGGCGTCCCGTCAGCATTACAGTGCTGCAGAGGAATCAGATAGGCATGTGTCACTCCACAGGATCAAATCACAGAGGAACAGTTTATGGTGCATTCTTTGTAACCATTCATTCTAGTGGGAGGCCTATACAGTGATGATTTTCATCATTTGCTTACTAGCATCTAATTGGTAAAAAAAAAGATACCTATGCGACCCTGCTGCTCTTATCAGTACATCTAAAACAGAACAATATATTACAACTTTCGCCCTAACGACCAGCTTGACTTCCAAGGCTCGCCTAACATGTGCAGCAGAGTATTTTCATGATATGTCAGACTACATGTTTGCTTCATCTTGTGTTCATTTTCAGAAATCAGAACAGTCAAGCATAACAACAAAGGGTGGTGAAAATGGAATAGGAAAAACTTAATAGTGAGACCTCTGATCAGCCAATAACCATGTAATTACAAATAAACATAACCTGAGAACTCTGCAATGTGAGGACAGGTTGTTGCTTTGGGAATTGAAGGGGGATGGCAAAGTGAACCTGCAGCATCACATTGCAATCTTGTCACTTGATAATGAACTAATTCAAAATTATAAGGCTATATGAAACAATAAAAAAGGATGATGCAAATTATCAAAAAAAGAAAGAAAGAAAGATCCACTGAATTACAGAAAACATGCTTTATTCAAAATGTGATATTCAGCAGTTAGGAATATAGGTCGAGGGGAAATAAAGGAAAAATACACTCCACAAATCTACAGCTTCTTTATATTCAACATAAGAATTGTGGGAGATGCATCATCGCCAACATTCTGAAAGTTGGTAACCAAATACGACATACAGCATTATGGTGCTGTTCCATGAGAATTAACATGTTACTGGATGCATGATCCTTTTCCTTCTCAGGTGTCAGATTTTGTTTCCTTAATTGTTTATGCATTAAAGTGGTCAGTTAAGTGCTTGAAAATCCAAAAACGTAAATGATTTGAAGTCTCTGCCTTGTGCAAAGGGGAACACAAGTCCAGAGGAAAAACGTGTTCCCCTGTGTTTTTACTAACGCCATGGCATGGAGAGAAAAAGAGAGAGGGCACTAGGTTCAAGCATTCTGTGTCATACCAGAAATGTGAAAATTCCAGAAATGGAAAGAATTGTAGCCCTCCTGCAAAAAAAATCTGATGCGCATATGTATCATTAGTAGACTTGTTAAAATGCATGATCATGTAAGGGAAAACAATACTATATTAGTACCGGATCAGCCTCTAATGGTCTCCCAAAGGTAGGAGCTAGTGCCTCAATAAAACGTCTTCTGGAACCAATTGAAGCTGATGCCTCTACAAGCTACAGTATAATTAGAAAAATGTAAGGAACAGAAGGTGCCACTAAATTATACAAAGATAATCCCCTGCTTTATGGGCTTTCATGACATCACACAGTTGTCACTTGTCAGCTAGGCAACAACTACGTGCCAAGTCAGGCAGTGGTGGTCACTGGTCAGAGATGCTTTGGGCATCATCACAGGCCGGAGTCACTGTGCTCAATAAAAGAGCTCACAAAGCAGAGGAAGGAGTTTGAGCGAGAGGAAAGTCATTATGTTAGGATTTAAGACTCCCTCTCTCTGGGCATCATGGCAACCATGCATGCTTAATTAATAAAAAATATTAAATGCTTCAATAGCATGCTTTGATAAATGAAAAGTCCATAGGTTTTATACAACCAAGCACTTGAAGACCTACAAACAGAGAGGGTGAGATGCAAGAACTAGACAGCAAGAAAAGCACATGCAACTGCAGTCAGGCTTAAAGCTATCATCCAATTAACAGTATAAGACCTATTGTGTTTTTCCTCCTTCATTGTTCCTTACGTTGTGGTTTTCCCCCATTTCAAACATAGTCACAACAAAGACACAAATTTAATGCAACTGAACCAAACAACCAGTTAACATTCTGCAATCCCCAACTCCCATGATATATCTTACATGCATGGCATTGACATGAAAATTGCACAAAAAATTGCAAAACAACAACACAGCTTACCAGACCGTTAAGACTATCTTCTAAACCAGGAAGATACTCCGCCAAAGCACCTACATATGATAGACCAAGGAGGGTTCATCAGTTAGAAGGTCATTATTGTATATTTTTTAGAAATGTTCTAATAAACGAGAACATAAGGGCATAACAAGAGTGTTATGTCTCACAACATGACATGCAACAGGATAAGACAGAAGGACAGACAACCTTCATCTAGTGGTGTGGCAAGTTAACTTACATCCCATTTGACCATGGAGGGAGTTTCACATCCTCAACTGAGAGAAGTGACTTCAAATCTGGTGTTGAGATTAGTTTGAGTCGTGGAGCAGAAGGCATAGAAGAGTAGCTTGAACTCCTACTAATTGGAAAAATGACCTGCATAAGAAACAGGCAACATATTTTCAAATTCGCAATAGAAACTCGTATATTCCATTGGGTTGTCCAAACTATAGAAAGACAAACTGAAAACTGACAGCCAAAAAACTAAATACATTTGGGCATGAGCAATGTATATTGCCAAACTAGGCAAATAAGAAATACTACGTCGTATCTGTTAAATTTTCTGCACAATGTTTAATCTTTATTTACCAGAGGAGGTCGTAAGCTGGGGCCCACATCAATCAACAAAAAATCAGCGCATCTCGACAACCACCTTCCTCCAACATTTTCCCTTCCATGCCTTCTCCTCTCCCATGCTCTCTTCAAGCTAGGTCCCCACTCCCCAAGCCGATGACGACCATGGGTGTTGCCGGTCACAGGCGAGGCTCCGACAGCGTGTACTCCTACTGCCGACAGACGCTATTAACCGCTCCCCTCATACCATTCACAATATATTTTACCGGCAGCACAGCATCACTACCTCCTCTTATTCTCCCATTGTGGACGCCCTTATATGTGTGCCAGGATGTGTCTGTCACTACTTGGAGAGTTCTGCTAGAGGTTTCTCTTTCTCATAAATACTTCTAATTGAACATATGACTGAAACCTCACCTATGTGCGCTTGTACCTTAAGGTTAAGGACCAGAGGGTTTGGTGGAGTTTGGCGTGAGTTGGTGTGAGTTGGTGTGAGTGTGAGTTTGTGTCCCTGGGGCTTGCCTTTTGGCTGGCCTGGGGTGTGTTGTATGGGTTCTTTTCCATTTTTACTTCTTAATATAATGATGTGCAGCTCTCCTGTGTTTTTCTAGAAAAAAAAACCTCACCTATGTAAAGAGAACATCTAAATGCAACAATAAGGTTGTTGTCTGTGAAATCCTTTTTTCAATTCCGTACTTTTTTTTATCAGTGATACAGTACTCTGGTCAGTCTAACATGCAAAAGGTTCAGTGTAATGTGCACAAAAGTCAACGGAAACATTCTCAAAACTGCTGGTAAGAATAGTAGAGTGACCGTCTTGATCCTACTCAGTACATACCTTGGTTGGAGAACATGACATGTAAACACTATCAGATAAATAGTCTAGAAGATTTCTATGGCATTGCAAATTTTAGTCATAAAGTGAAGTTTCAGCAGGACTAACTAGATGAGAGTTTGCTGATATAGCATTTACCAACAAGGCAACAATTCATCATGAATAGTGCTACTATTATCTAATGTCCATGTCTGTGTCCGTGGAACCAGTGATTTTAGAGATTAACCTGGAGATGGATCTTTTGAGGTAATCTCCAAGGACATCCTGGCACCAGTTTGGCAATGTCAAGGTCAGAGTCCAGAAGTGGTACAGCAAATTTCACCTCATCTGGCTACAAAATACAACAATGCGAGGTGAGAGTAGATATCAATTTTCACAAGAGAAAAATTGTAGAAATTGGTAAACTTACCCTATCAGCAGAAGGTACCATGCAGACTTCGATTCCCTGTCCATGAGATGATTTCGAGAAGTCATTTCTCAACCAATGTATCCAATAAGAAAATTGAGCTAATTTGGAAAAGCAGTTGGTAATAAGTCATTCAGGCCACTCAACCTTCAGCAAGTACTTAAGACCCAGTATGTTTCTCGCTATACTGCAGCCATACCATATAAAGGCTGCTGTAAGAATAAAATGTAGACCATACATCTGCACGTGTGGCATACTAATCTAATATCTCAATGTCACCAAATGGGCAACTGTGGAAGTCCGTTATGCCGTTACCTCCTTAGAGAGAACAGTGCTTAGTTCAAACGCCACTCTTGCGTCATCCACCATGTGAACCCGCTTCTTTTGGTATTCAATGTACAATTCTCTGCACCAATCAAAATTAGAATTAAACAGTTATCAAAAGAAAGCTTAGCAACAAAAGTAACAGGAGTATCTCAGTGCGCTTTTGTCACCAACAAGAACATCTCATGATATCAATTTCTTCCAAACCACATGCCTGCCTCACAAACTAAAGTTAAAAAATAAAGTGGACAGATCATGCATTCGTCAATCCTGGCTCTGACAGAAAGCAAAGACACCAGCATTCATCCCTACCCAGTACTCCCTATTCATAAACATGGTCAAACCATCTTCCCATGTTTCCAATCCTCAGTCCGTAAATAGCACTGCTACCACCCCAACCAGAAACAGGCAATGAAGATCACAACATAAGCATAGACAACTCGAAAGCAAGAAGAACCTCACCGGAGCTCCTGTACGAGGGCAAGGAGTCCCTCGGGGGCGCGGCAATCCCAACGCGCCAAGCAGCTCTTATCGCCATTTCCAGCCACATCGTAGTCGACCAGCGGCTGGAACCTCTCGTCCTCCGGCCCGAACACCACGTCTGGCGCCACCTTGGGAGACAGCGCATTGTACACGAAATCCCCTGCGGTGGCAGAATCTGAGCTACAGTTCCAAACCCTAGTACCATTAGAGCGCTTCGAGCGAGGGTGCGTTACAGTGGACGTAGTCGAGGCAGAAGGGGATGGCGAGCGTGAACCGATCGGCGGGGCTGCCGTTGCGGCAGCCGGACCAGATCTGTCCCACCTGCAAGCGAGCCAAGTGAGACGGCGAGTGGCAAGGCGAAGGCGAGGAAGAGCAGGGGGTGAAGGGAGCGCATACCCTGATGGGAAGCTTGGAGTGCGAGAGGAGGTAGTTGAGCTGCGCCGCGATGAGGGCGTGAGCGGGGGCGCCGAGGCGGAGGAGGCGGGCCCGGCGGCGTCGGCGGACGGAGACATCGCCGGCAGCGGATGTGGCTGGCGATTAATTCCGGAGGCCTCTCTCCTCGACTCACACCAAACTTTTTTTAATTATTTTTCGCTTGATCTGACTTGGGTTTAGAAATAGGGCCCGGATGATAATTCCATTTGCCAGCTTAAACCCCACACTGGTCATATGAAACCTGGTGCGAAGAAGTTTCCTCGTTTTCAGAGTTAAATGCAACCGAGGTCCATTAACTTGTGAATAGTTAGATTCATCAATTTTAAAGTGATTTTTTTTGTCATAAACTTTATACGCCGTATCGTTTAGGTCCATATACCACCATGTGAGCTTCTCATCTTTGGCGTGGCGGTGACTTCCATCTAAAGCAACTATTGACCATTACGGCGAGTGGCCGCCGCCCATCTTGGTGTAGGCGTGTCGCCACGCGTTGCCGCGAGCACCCCAATGGCCGCGCTGAGCGACGTCGTTGGCATTGGTCGAGCGGGCTGGTTGCCGCACGAGGCCAATCATGCCGCCGTCGCATGAGTGGGCGCGGTGGCCGCCTGACCGCTGGATTCTTCGTCTGCTGCGACCGCTTTCAAGAGATCATAGCATATCGATGTTCTTCATCTTTGTCGGCCTAGCGCACTACATCATGCTGTTCGTGACGCTGTACCGGTGGTTGCCCATGAGCGAGAAATGGGAAAAGCAAAAAAAAAATATTATAGATTGACAGAAGGCATCCCGCTCACCCGTCGGCTCTGGGCTCGCTGCGCTTCGCGCCGCTCCTGAGCCTAGCCTGCCGCCAGAGCTGGCCCTCCGACTCGTTGGACGACGATCTGTTTGGGCACCGCGTGCTTCCTAGCTTTCAGCGGTGGGTGGCGTGGCATCTGACCTCGCGCAATGACCCGTCCGCTCGACCAACGGCAACGTGGCTACCCGTGGCAGCGGCCGCTGCGTGCTCACGTGGTTTGCACCAAACACGGGCGGTGGCCGCTCGCTTCTCCATGACGGTGGCGTGGGTTGTTCGACATGGCTACCTGACCCATTGACCGAAAGCCTCTTGTAGGGCTTTTGAGAGACGAGGGCAGCGTGGCGCAACGGCGTGGCTCGCCGCGCGCGCCATCATGGCTGCGGCAGGCCGCGGCGCCTTTCACAGCATAGTGCAATGCGTGTGCCGGTGGCGGCTTTGCTCATAATGCTCCAGCAGCGTACCGCGGCGGCATTTGCTCATGGCGCCCACAGTGTGTTTGACGAAATGAAAGGTCAATAGTTGCTTTAGATGGACAAGTCAGCAAGCCACGTCAGCATGAGAAGCCCACGTGGATCTAAGTGATACGACATATAAAGTTTATGGACCTAAAAGACACTTTGAAACTTGATAGAACTAACTGAAACCTCCTTCCAAGTTAATGGACCTCAGGTGAATTTAACTCTTGTTTTCAAATTCAATCCAAAGTTCACTCTAGTGCCATGTCATCCAATCCAAAGAGATTTAAGTTGATGAGAAATGAAATGTGTCGTTTCTCTTTGTTTCGTGGTAGCGTCATCCAAAAAGCTATATGAGTTAAGAAATGAAGCCAAATGTTCCATGAATGAAACCGGTTTGGCCCCTAATGTAGTATCAAAATTGTTTCTAAGTCTCGTTTCTTTCTTCACAGCTCTTCCACGATTTTGCCATGTCGTCATTTGAGTCTATTGAAATAGTATACAATATGGTTTAGTTGGGATCGGGTGAATCCTCTTATTTCTTGTCTTCAAAGTTCTTTTGTGGTTTTCCCATGTCATTGATTATTCATATGCACACCTTATTTGTTGAGAATGGAACCAACATTGAGGTTAGCTTAGGCTTGTTGCAAGACGTCAAGACCCTCAAGCATAAAGTCAAATGTGAATTAGACGCATATACGCTATCTACTCACCACTTTGTGTATCTCACATTTGATGGGAAACACATTTAAAGCAGGATGATTCAAGAATCGATGGTAGGATGTAGGTGCAAAATATAGTAATCGATGGTATAATATATTGCTCTTGTTACAATAGTACCACAAAGTCTAAAAAAACGAGCCTAAATATCATTATCGAATCACAAGTTTATACAAGGCCTTATCACAAGTTTCCATTCTAATCTTACGCTTAACCTAACATAACCATGTGGTTCACCTCCAACCATAAAGGACTTTGAAAGAATCACCAAAACTTTAAACCCTTCGTTTTGTCGGCCAAGATCTCTAGCCAAACCTAAATAGTATAACGAGTAAGGAGTCTACAACTCCATTACATGTGCTCACATTTTTGAGTCAAATCTTAGGATTTGATCCCACGAACGAAAGAGCCAAGCCGAGGTTTCGAGCGGCTGCATGCTTAACACAATTACATCGGACATGATGTTTTTGACAATGTGGTTCAAGGACGAGAATGAACCAACCAATAGGATGGGACCAAAAGACAAGGAGAACAGATGAGCTTTTTCGGCTGACCTGGAAGAACCCAAAATGAGGACACACATATGGATAACTACAAATCTGTACAAGCAAAGCGTGATTCTAGTTTCCCGATAACAACAGGTTTGGTAAGAAATAAGTACACTAAAAGAAAACACAACATGGCTCAAAGCTGCTGTAAGGATGCAAAGACATCTGATCCAAGGGTGAATCATGGTTCATCACAAACCGACATTGCCGGCTTGAAAACGAAAGGATATAGCAAGTGGCGTGAGAGAGGGTGAATATGCATTTTTTCGAAATTTAATCAACTTCACGAAACCAATCAGAACTCGAAATCTCCGGGCTTGAGCGTGGAGGTTCCGGGGCGTGAAGGTTCCGGGGCTAAGCGTGGAACCTCCGAGATCAGAGTATGAAATCGATCTACTGCGGAATTTAGCGAACGAAAAATAGATCAAATGTGATACCAGTCTTCCTGAGGAGTTTGTTGAGCTATCCAATCGGTTGGTTGCACCTAGAAGATGAGAAACTCGTAGATCGTATGCAAACCCTAAAAATCAATTCAAATCACAAGTAATAGCAACAACAATCACAATCACAAGAGACACGAGGATTTATCCCGTGGTTCAACTCGTCACAAAGGCTTGTCTACGTCCACATTGTTAAGGTTAGCCACAGAGGCTATGGAGTCTCTTTTAACTCACTCCTCTTCTCCAACCTATCACCAAGGCAACAGATTGGAGGGTTCCACTAAGTCATAAAGGGTAATACAAATGTCCCGGTGCTCAGCCACAAAGGATTGGGAGCTCTCGGGCGACGGCTAGTCATCTAGGAGTCAAGCTCCAAGAGTAACGAACACACCAAGCGGCTAAAAACTTCACCAAGTGCACAAGAACGGGGGAGAAGGATCTTCTCGAGCTTTCTCACACTCTCTAGAGCCAAATCCCTCGAGGAATCACGGAGATCTTGAGTAAGAGAGTTGGGAGCACTAAGCTTGGAGAGAGAGAGCTTCAGTTCGAGTTTGAGTGAATGAGGTTGAAGATGACCGTTGGGGGGAAGAGGTGAGGTATAAATACCCCCACCGTCAACCACAAAATGGTCGGGTCAGACAGACCCCAGAGCCTCCGCGTTAGGTAGCGGAGGTTCCACGCCATAGAGGTTTCGGCGCCTGGGCATGAAGGTTCCACGCGGGCCAAAGTAGATAAGAATTTAGCTCGGCTGGCTTTTTGTGGCTGGGATTGTTTGAGATGTAGATAGAGTTTTGAGCACTTGGTTTCACCCAGCACACCATTAGTATCCCCCTTATTAGTACGGCTTGTCCTATAACTCAATTTCAAAATTTGAAAAGAATTAAACTAGCTCTTTGAGCCTTTGCAAGCCATCCATTTGAATTTGGGGGTCTCCTCCTTTGTTTGTTTGCACCCACGACAAATGATACACTATCAATCACTTAGAGAAGCCATTAGTACTTTAATATTTTCACCAACATCACCAAAACCCACTTAGGGCTTGATTGCACTTACAATCTCCCCCCTTTTTGGTAAATATTAACAACACAATTAAAGCTTACATTTAATTTAAAGATTGAGCTTTTGATAGCATGAATACAAGGGCTCTCCCTTAATATATACAAGATTAATTTGAATTTAGGCAAATGTCCCCTCAAGACATGCTTTGCATATATTTAAGAGCAATGTGAATGAATCATTGTATTCATGCCATCGTGGGGTGCAAAAGATCTGTGTCAAATAATATCTGTGATGCATATGACAGTTTAAGCACAAAATGAAAATACTCTGACTCTGCAGACTGTGGAGCCTCCGCGCAGGAGCACGGAACCTCCGGGCCACGGAGCCTCTGCATTTTGCACACTTAGAACATTTCCAACAGAAGGTAAAGCATCTCGAAATAAAAAACAATCACCACACAGATCTAAACATGCTAGTAATAGATTAAAGATTAAGCAGTTCTAGCAACCTATTATAAGCATTCAAGTTCATATCCATGTCCATGACCACAAATCGCCACACAAAGGTGAATCAAAGAGTTATTACAGACCACTAAGATAAAAAGAGTTCGAAAACGACATCGACTCTCACAACTCACAACTAAGCATCTCAACAACCATCATGTCGACATTATGGCAAGGCGAAGCGAAGCTATCTCCCACGGGCACAAAAGATCATCTCAATCTTGCCTCTCTCCCCCTTTGTCAACAAGTGCCAAAAAGGGAAACAGAACAAGAGAGGTAAGGTACTAGCTCACTCACCCCTGCTCCAATCACTGCTAATGTCACTCCCACTGTCATCTACAGGATCGGTCAGCCTCTTGCCATTGGAAACTGTCCTCTCATCAAACTCATCACCACTATCACTCACAACAGCCCTGCCAGCCCTGTGAGTAGTCGTCATGTGCCTCTATGGCCTGGACTGTCCTCTCTCACATCTAAGGGTGGTCATCCTCTCTACAAGTGTCTCTTGGTCATGTGGAAGCTCCATCTCTCTCATCTTCACTAGTGTCCTCATAGGGTGGAAAGATTGGAGGTGCTGGAATCTCTCTAACCTCGAGTCCTAGCTACCTCTCCATGT